TATTAGAGCTGGCCTACTGGTATTATACAGCTAATATATATATTGTTTAGTATTAAGCTTTGCTTGTTCCATATTCAGTTTTTCAGCAAAATTTGAGTCCCTAAGAAGAGATTCATTCTTAAATCTGAATGAAGATATTTTTTTCTTCAATAAATATTAACGTTAGCCCACGGCCTTGTTCCAGTTTTGAATTTTGGCGCACTGTGTATTTGAGTTTGACACCCCTGGTCTACACAGTGTTGCTGGTTTCCTAGTTTGGGGAATGTGCTAAAACGCTTTATGAAGCCTCATCTACCCATCACTAGTGAGGTGATTACAGCCTTAAGAAACATGCTCCGTGTTTGCCATTTGTCCCTATATTTACAACCAACTATATAAAATGCTTTGCTCTGCCAGCTGCAGAGAGCGCAACTGTTAAACAATTCTAAGATAAAATCACGAGCTCACTCAGTCATTAAGTAGTGGAAGGGGAGTACACACAACGTAAAGTATTCACCAGTCCAAACTTGTTAAAGACATTTTCCGGAAACAGACGCATTTGAGCTTTAGAGTTAAATTTAAGTTGATTCAACTTTATTGCCAGGGCTGACTTGGAGTTGCTCATCTTGCTCATTAGACTCCGGTGAAGAGCCAGGAACAGAGCTACCAATTCTGATTGTTGAAACATGTTCTGAAAAGTCAGTGACTTTCCACCTAAGAAAGCTAAATTGCCATTTTTTGAATGACTTTAGTTCTGAAAGGTGCTATACAATTAATAAAAAAAATCTAATAGAAGCATGATAAACACTCACCAGCCACTTCATTATTTACAGCAGCCAGACTGCTTTACAACTCAGTAAATTTATGTAGATTTAGTTCAAACCTGACAGTGATTTTCAGAGTAACAGGGTTGCTGATGGCAGGTTCTCATTTCAAGCTGCTGTGATGCAATCAGACCCAAATCTGATGTTCCCTATATTTTGTCAATTCAGTTGTTCATTTCAGGGCAGGACTCTTTGCAGTAAATTTGGAGTAAAGCTACAGTCACCCGATGTGGTTCGAGTCCAAGTCAGATAATATTGAAAGCCAAGCCATTAAAACACTGAGACTGAAAAGTAAAAGTCTGTATTTTACTGAGCGCCAACCAGGTGTTGTTGAATTAAAATTCAAGCCTATCGTTTAACACATGATGAGAACACTGGTTTCATGTCAACAGTTTATTCAAATTACAGCAACATCAGCTCTTAAACATCAAGCAATAAATGCTTTCCATCTTCACATAAAGATCCAGTCCAAGTCCTATTTTCACCTGAGAGAAAGGAAATAGACTGAATGATGTGCAAAATAAAAAGCCAACACAGATTCAAGTGAAAATAGGCTAGCAATTCCACAAAGAGTTTCTTTACTGCATCATGTTATTTTTCAAACTGCATCACTGCATTTCTCCAGCAGAGGTCACACTAAACAGACCACATTATTGCTAAAAGACAATTATAGGACTTATGACATCTGACCATTTAATCAATAACTTAACATGCATGTATCTTACCGAGCTCTGGATCCATGTATACTGAAGCAGAGGTCTCTGCAGCCACTGAATCCAGTTCTGAGACATAAATAAGAGGAAGTTAATGTCAAGAAGCTTTCGTCTAACAGCAGAATGTAACGCTTCCAACTTTATGTTCAGAAAACCAACAATCACCACTGAACAATCTGACGGTAATTCCAGCTTTTCAGTTTAGGTTTCATCACCACAATTAATAATAAGTACTTGTCATATAGAGGAAAAATGTTACCTGATAAATTCACTGGACAGTGAACTAAGTCATCATTTGACAGACCTGATAATAAAAAAAGGAGACATCAGAATATGCAGCACACTTTGATAAGCATCAATTTCTTTAATTTGAAGAGACTCAGAAAGGTGGATTAGAGACAATCGTCAGTTGTCGCATCTGACGGCACTTCCTATTCCAGGTTTTCATCATTGATACAGCCACTCAGGGCTCATAAGACTCTTAGGAAATTCATTTCCAATTAACTCCCCTTTGCACAACAAAGCACTGTCATTTTAATTTTAAAGTATCACAAAATGATGAATAGCATTGGATTCAATTTTAAACAGATTTTATTTCATTGGACAAAATGTGGAAAGCTTTTTAGGATCAGACACAATTATACAAACAAATCCCAGCAGGATTTCAAATGATGTCAACTATGTGGTGCACAGTGAGTACTTTAAAAATCAGTCCTTGTTGTACAAAGGTGAGCTTATCTTTAAATACTGTCAGGTTTGTTATAAGTGTACTTACGAAGACTGGCTCAGCATGTCTTCAGATGAATCTAAACCAGCTCACTTTGAGACATCTGAAACAAAGTTCAAAATGGTGAGCCACTTGAACTGATCAAGTCAATTCTAGACTAATTTATTCTCACTTTGTGTTCAGAAAACCATGATCAACACTGAACAATCTGCCGGTAATTCCAGCTGTTATCAGTTTAAATTTCATCACAACAGAAGCAGCCAGTTTTTCATGCTTATGGGCAGGAATGGAAATTTACCTGTGTGTAACAAATCCATATCTGTCCACTAGTTCAGCTCGGAGTGCACGCACCATGCAGACAAACATCCTCCACGGATGCTCAAGTTCTCTTCCTTTACCTGGAGGAGGAAACCGTGAGCATGTAGTTCATTTGTTTTGACATGCATCAGAACTACATGGGTTCAGAACTATTAAGCCAACCTATGATCCTGGTTTCTCATCCTCTTATCTGGCATCTTCCAAGTAGCCTGAAGAGCAAACAGAAGTTAACTTCTACTCATGTGAACAGACTTATTACCACAGAGCTATTTTGAGACTGAGGCTCAGAACAGTGAGTGAGAAACATCGTCAGTTATCGCATCAGACGGCACTTCCTATTCACAGTTTTCATCACGTTTACAGATGTATCAGACAAACAGCTGGGTCCACTTTATGATCACTCACCTTCCAAGGAGACAAGGAGACCACAGGAGGACTTGAACAGAACAATTTTTGTACTCATACTGTGACCCAAAAGTGCTAGGCCCACCTGAGTGTGAGAGGAAAATAATTATTTTTTAAATCCTTCTATGGTGTTCATATTGTTACTCAGCCATTTGACAGCTTTCTGAAAATTCAAAATTCACTATTTTATGTTCTTCACACAAAAAGAGAATGAATGGGTTGGAAATAATTTGCATAACCACTTTTTATCAGTAGCATAAGTGCGTCAGACTTTCAGAAATATGATTTTCCAGACTCATGGCAGACATGAGACATCGTGGAGGCATTCAATGCTTGCATTAAGATATGCAGAAAGCGAAAAGCACAGGACCAGCAGTCCTCCCCACGTGGCTACAACATCACAACTAAGAACAATGCTAACCTTCAACTTTAATGAACTGAAATCACGACTTAAACACGCTTACAAACTAACCTTTAACGCAGGGCCTTTCATCTAAAACCGCCGCAACCTTCTCACGTATCAATGCACTTCGCAAGTTGAGCGAAACTAGCGACATTGAACCACACTGGACGAGAAGAGACCAAAAGGACGAACAATGTGCGTTTGCGCGTTTTTATACTGCGGCTGTCGCGGAAATAAAACGTCAGTGCTACTTCGGCTTTCTTCGCATTTTGTCGGAGAAAACCGTCACTCACTTGATCCAACGTCTCGCTAGCTTTGATCCTTTTCTTTTCTTTTCTTTTCTTTTTTTTTTTTTAAATAACAATTTAATTGTGGTGATAGATACTTTTTTAAATGCGTGTATTTTAACCATTTGAACATTTTTGTTTTATTTATAACAACGTGCCGGATTTTTTGTTAGCATTTTAGCATCTAATTACCAGCTAAGAGCTGCATTATAGTGGTCATCACCTGCTTTTGTGTGTTATTTATTTGTTTATGTGCTCAAGCTAGTAATTTATGTTTGTCCACTTAACTGTGAATTTTATTTTTTCTCCCGTTAACAAATGCAGCTACTTCTTAATATAAAATGTGACCTGTGACCGCACATTGTCGCTGTTTGACAGCTAACTCTGTGTCTCGTCGCTCATTTCAGAGTATGTGGGTCTTCTCTCTGAGGCTGTGGGACCGTCATTTTGTTCTGAATTTGTTTCCTCTGCGGACTTTGGATAACACATCACATCTTCTGAGTGCTTCAGGTAAAGTTTTTTACAACTTGCATAATCCTTGACCAGCAAACAGGCCCGTAAGGAATGTTAGTTTGGGGTCTGCAGTGCTGCCATGAGAAGTAGTAGTAATGACAGTAGTAACTTTGTTCAGGTGACTGTTTCTACAACATTTGGTGAAAATCCATTAAGATTTCTTTGTTAAAAAGAAAAACTTTATTTGTTTGTGTATTTCTACATTACTGTCCATTGACTACTAAAAATAGAATTGAAATTTTCAATTCTGACAAGCTTAGAAGGCATTGTGCTGCGTGGATTCTGTAGTTCTGTGGGTGATTTATGAGAAAGGGATAAATACAAGAAGTGCGTCCTCTTGCAGTGAATGAAACGTGTGCCTGTAGTGGTGATAGCGGCTTCTTGAAGGAGGTGTGTGTTCATGCGTGTGTGCATCGATCAGGTGCATCAGCATGTTGCCACCTGTGAAGAAGGACCGGGTTATTACTCAGCTCCCAAAGGTTAGTCAACACACACATGCACGCGCACACACACAAACCCCATGATTGTAGTTGAATCTCCTACCCTTACTTTATCCCAAACCTGAACCTAGTCTTAATCCTGAATAAAGGTACTCCACAATGACTTCTGTGTTTATCCCCATGGTAACAAAAATCTCCATGGATACAAAAAGGCACAGCCTGTTCACCTTGCTGCCATCTGGCAAGTGATAAAAAAAAGTATCTCCAGCTGTGCAAGCTGACCTCAGAACATGAAGAGACTGAATCTCTAGTTTTACATCAGGACTGAAATGAATGTTGAGTCTTTAATCCTGAACGGGTCAGTTTATCCAAGCATGATAAAACATGGACATGTTTTTTTTTATAGTGTTTTAGTGCAAATGCAGCTCTGCACACCAAAGAAGGCTTCCACCCGCACGTGAAGGCTGCATGCCAGGTCCAGAAAGCAGACACAGTGAGGTAAGGTCACATAAGGGTTAATAAACACTCTCTGCCTCCCATCATGCTACTACACACATCTCTACACTGTGGGTTTAAATCATATTAATGAGTTTCTGATTAATTTGGTCTTCTAAATCACATTAGACTGACTGTGTCAGCTGACGCTGCTGCCACATCTGACCACTTTCTGTTGGTGGTGTTTTTAAAGAAAAGGCTAATGGCATTTACTTTTACAAACCACTTTTTAAAAAAAAAAAAAAAAAAAAGGCCAAAACCATTGACTTTGCTTAGATGTTTACTCCTCGTAAAGAAGTAAATCTGAACAAACTAGTCTCATGTAAATACAGTAAGGTTTATGTAGGATTAGGTACATTTTAGCCTCTCTTTAGCCTCTCTTTGTGTTTTAGTTTGAAGGGGGGGGGGGGTATGAATAAAAATAGCTGTAATTCCTGCATTACTGAGGCAGTGATGCAGAACTCCTTAAATTAAGTCTTCACTTCACTTTACTAAATTCCCAATGCTTCCAACATATCAAGTATTTATGTAATTAAATGTTTGAGTGATTTCTCCATGCTGTGGAATACCCTGCTGTGTATTTTCATGATCTTGAGTGAATGCTGACAGTTGTGGATTTCTGTTCTCAGCTTTAATGTTGCTAAGGTCATCGTCGTGGGTGATGTTGCAGTTGGCAAAACGTGTCTGATCAGCAGGTAAGAAGCTTTTATATAGCTACAGCTTTATATGTTATATAGCTTGATATATAGAGACATGATGAACATGACCTCCTGAAATTAAAACTGAATGTCACAATGGGGGAAGAAATGTGATTTAAGTGAACATGAATAGTTTTTGGTGTCAGACTGGCTGTTCTGAGTATTTCAGAAAATGCTGATCTACAGTTTACAGAGAATGGTCAGAAAAAGATAGAACATCCAGTGAGCAGTAATTCTCTGTGGAAGAAACACCTTGCTGATTTCAGAGTTTAAAGGAGAACGGCCAGACCGCTGTTAGAAAGACAAAAACAAGTCAAGCATCCACTGGTATGCAGAAGACCATCACTGAGTGCACAGCATGTTGAAGCTTAAAGCAGATGAGCTGCAGCAGCAGAAGACCACACCAGGTGTCACTCCTGTCATCCAAGCAGGAGACTGAGATTACAATTCACAGAACCTGAAAAAATGTTTCCTGGTTTGATGAATCTCAATTTGTGCTGAAACATTCAGAGGTAGGGTCAGAATTTAGGGTAAACAGCATAACAGCATTGATCCCACCTGCTTTGTGTCATTGGTGTAATGGTGTGAGGCGTGGCCTTTACCTAACACTTTTTGTTCACCTAAATTACACCTAAAGCATAACATACTAAGGCAGAAACTTTCAATCACACATAAAGACACTGAGCATGTGCACAGAGCTGAGGCTCATTTGTTTTTCTCATCCTCATTACAGGTTAATAGTTTCAGCAGAAACCATGCCACTCAGGATGAAGACTTTTATGATACCAGAAATGTCATTTACATTTAATTACTAATGAATATTTGGAATATTTTGTATTTCAGTAGTAGGATGGAATCAGTTTACTGTATTGTTCGGTAAAAATGCTTAAGAAATGAAGCATTTTATTCAAAAAATGTTAAAAAGATTTCAATTTTACCTTTCTTAGTCTGCCACCTGTCCCCTGTTGCTCTCAGGTTCTGTAAGGGTGCGTTTGAGAAGAACTACAAAGCGACTATAGGGGTGGATTTTGAGATGGAGCGCTTTGAGGTGCTTGGTGTTCCCTTCAGTTTACAGCTGTAAGTGTACTTCTTAACCAGAGAGAAACATCCAGTTCATAGACTGAGCCCTAGGGTCATATGAGTAATCTCCACGAAGAAGTTCAAATATGAGCAGTCTGTGTGTAATGAGATCACATAAATAGATAATTGTGGGGCTGTGCAGCATCCGCCTGATAATTTCACAATCTGGTTGTTCAGGCTGCTCAGTGCGACTTAAATGACATGTCTTGAATTCACTATGTCACCTTCAGATGTGCATGTACCTGCTGTGAGTGCACATGTAGAATCAGTGTAATATTAAGGTAATCATTTTGGCATCTAGTCAACATTAGGACTCTAGTTCACTTTTAATCCCACTGTTTCTTTCACGTTCACCAAATATTCCAAAGACGACCATTAAAGCTGCGTGTGCTCTGATTTAGGTGGGATACAGCAGGTCAGGAGCGCTTCAAGTGTATTGCTTCCACCTATTACAGAGGAGCACAAGGTGAATGAAGCTTCAAAATATTCATTTTTGTCTTTTAACTAAAGCTGGTGAAAGATTTGTGTTCTCATTCTGACCCATATATATCAAACTGTCTGCATTTCTCCAGCCATTATTGTGGTGTTTGACTTAAGCAGTGTGGGCTCACTGGCTCATGCCAGGTAAGGCGTTTCCATTACAATGTCATTGTCAGATATTTTCTCTAAAAAACCGATAAAATGTATGTGCGTGTATATGTGTGTGCATCCAGGCAGTGGCTGGAAGATGCTATGAAGGAAAATGACCCGTCCAGTGTCTTATTGTTCCTTGTCGGTACCAAGAAGGACCTCAGTGTGGGTGAATTTTATGAAAAAATTATGAAACACTGAGATTTGACCTGACATTTTTAATGTAATAGTTGATTAATAAGTTGAAAATGGGAGGTGAGATTGTGAGGATTGTTACTGATTCAAAGCATTTCATTTTGAATGAAATGCTTTGAATGATAGGAATTTTTTAGTTAATAATCAAAACTCTTGTCGTCATACATGACAGACTTTAACAGTAATAAAAATATTTCTAAATTTTAGTCTTCTGTAAAATGCCAGATATTGGGGAGTTATGTTCTGATCAGTCAGATTGTTGATAATGGGTTGACTGGTTGCTGAAGTTGCCCTGCAGTGACTCATCACTCTCGCTCTCTCTGTGTTTTGCTCTTCAGTCTCCTGACCTGTTGGCTCAGATTGAGCAGGAAGCCATGAGGCTCTCTGAGGAAATCAAAGCAGAGTACTGGGCCGTGTCTGCAAAGTCAGGTGGGAGATAAACAGTCGGTCATCAAGCCTGAATGCTTTTCATTTTTATGTTTTGTCCTCTCAGTAAACTCTGCCCTCTGTGACTTTGTTTTTGTCCAGGAGATGGTGTGAAGGACTTCTTCTTCCGTGTGGCTTCTTTGACTTTTGAGGCCAATGTTTTATCTGAGCTGGAGAGGAGCGGGTCGAGGCATGTTGGTGACATAATCAGTGAGTCCACATTATTCAGTGGTTGTTATCTGTTTCTGGTTGTTAGCACAAAAATGAAAGGTGCTGTGCTTTATCTGTTTATGTTTTTTGTGAGTAGGCAAAAACACATTTTAAAAAAATCTTTTTTGCTTAGACACACGGAGTGTTTTCTAATCTTACCTCCATTGATTGTCACTGGAGTGGCTTTCGACCACCTCACTCCACAGTGGGTCAAAGCCAGACCTTCTCCAGTGAGGTCTGGAGACTCTGTAAGTGCCCCTGTAGCACAGTGATCCACAAAATAAATTTCCATTAATCAAACAAATGTGGTATGCCACTGAAAATTGTTAATACATATAAAAATGATCTTGGCAGCACTAAAACAAGCCCACTGTGACCTTTACCCCCTCTCATTAAAAAAGAGAATGATTGTAACATAGTAATCTGGGATCCTCTGTCATGAAATCACTCTCTTCCTTTCTGTGTGCAGAGATTATTGCTTTTCTTTGTATCCAGCTCGCTGCCGGAGGAGCTTCGGGAATGTTTTGAGCAATGTTACCTCTAAGCTGCGCGCGTGCGCAGTTGCGCACTGCTGGCACGGTCTCTGCGCAGAAAAAATCTGCGTTGCACACAAAAATAAAATCTAACCTGAATTGAAATTAAAGTAAATATGTTAACAATTCTGCTTTGCAGTGTTAGTCAGTGAGTGACTGGCTGCTCCCGTATGGGATTAGAACGATGCCACCTTATCCCATAGTCCAGCCAATAATGCGATTCACATTCGTATATACGCAGCTAATCAACGTCGTTGACAGGCTATGACAGCGTCCTTATGTGCCGACACCGGTGTTTTAGCTAGCAAAGCGGTGTGGCGGATGTGGAGTGTTAAGCCACATTAATGACAACGTGTACAACCATTGGAGATGTGAGCAGGACAGACGGAACAATTGACGGAAAAACTGTGGACTTTATACCAGTTTTTCAATTGTGTTGATAGGCCACGTAAAACCAGAGTTATGATAAAAATATGCAATGTTTGGTTTTCTTCCTGAATACTATCGTTGTTTATATTTACTGCAGGAAGAAACAGTAAAAAACGGCGTTTTATAAGGAAAACGCTCGAAAGCACTCTCCACCTGTGAGCAAAGACAAAAACACCCCCACCCTTTCCCATTGGTCGAAAAATGTACCATGTCGACCAAACAAAACATGGCATTTGTTGTTTAGGGAGGGGGGAAGTTTTAGGAGTGACGGCGGTGTTTTGAGATGTGAGAGATTTGCAACGTTTAGCGCAAACCTTGTGTAGTTAGTGTGTAGTGTAGTCAATAGTTTTGTTGTGTGTGTCAGAACAATGAGGCGACTGCTGAATGTTACAGGTGTTACAGGAGTGATACATCTCCTGCTGTCAGGCCTGCAGGTATCAGGCTGTTGTTCTCCTTTATATTATAGTGGACAGAAATTAGTTTTTGGAGTGGCACAAATAATTTGTGTGGCATCAAATTCGATGCAGAAAACCTGATTGTTCTATAAATAGTTTGAAATGTTTATTTTTAAAAAACGCCTTGGCTGCATTTTTAGGTAAACAGCTGCAAAACTCAGTTACTTTTTTGAAGAAGTAACTATACAATTAATTGTCCAACACTGGTCATTATATACTGTATTTTGCAGAGAGAGAGTACCAGGACTCTCTCTCAGACCACAGACTCATAGTTATAATACAAGTCAGAGCTTTATTTAAAAACAAAGAAAGAAAGCTGTTTTTTCAAAATTGGAGCTCAAGATATTTTTACTTCCAATAGGGACTAAGTTAAGTTATATAGGAAAAAACTCAAATCGTTTTGTGTCCTTGATATTTTACACCCCTGAATGCTAACCACTGCTCTGCTATTGATGTTTTCTACTATAACACAAGCAATCTCTGTTTGTTTGTTTATCCACCAACTCCTCCTACACAACCGTGAGCTGAGAAATCAAAAGTCAAGGCACGCGAGTACATCTTGAGCCCCTAAAGGTTCTTATATATATTAGATATGATGTCATCATATTCTCTAGCAACCACCTAAGAACAGGCTAATATGACCCATTTTTAGGTTTTGTGTACTTATGACACTTTATAAAAGTATCATGATGTTTACAGTATCATTATTACATAATTTGACACATTAGCTCATAGGTGTCAAACTCTGGCCCGCAGCCTAATTACATTTGGCCCGCGAAGCCATACCAAATTACTATTAGAGCTGGCCTACTGGTATTATACAGCTAATATATATATTGTTTAGTATTAAGCTTTGCTTGTTCCATATTCAGTTTTTCAGCAAAACTTGTTTGAGACCATAAGAAGAGATTCATTCTTAAATCTGGAGGAAGATTTTTTTTTTTCAATAAATATTAATGTTAGCCCGCGACCTTGTTCCAGTTTTGAATTTTGGCCCACTGCGTATTTGAGTTTGACACCCCTCCATTAGCTTATGAAGTTTACTGTATTTAGGGATTATATCAAAAGTTTAATGTCAGATAAATAACTGCGTTTTTGGTGAAGTGGTTCCTCACTAAATTTAAGATGTAAATACATTTTACTGCTTATAAACTTACAATCATTCTTATATTGGTCTTCTATATATTTCTATAAACAACACCCACCACTCCTATGTTTTAACTTTTCTTTGTGTAATTAACCATATCAATGTGCCGATAGCATAAACAGACCAAACAGTAACGTAGCATAGGCATGTATTTGTACTGATAAAGAGAGAATTCCTGCGTAACCAATATGCCCCGTGTTCACTGCATCTGCCAGTTCAATGGTGTGACTTCTGTGTGTTAACATAGATATATCTTTGAGGAAATCTAACCGTTAAGATCCATTCACAAATGGTTTTGATTGTTCTATTGCTTCCAGTGAGAAAAAGAAAGCTCACATTGCTTATACGAATAACATAAAAGTGAAAAAAATCATATGTTTTTATTTATGTTGCTCACAGGGATCACAGACAGCACAGAGACCAGCCATAAACCAAAGAAGAAGCCCAACTGCTGCTGAGATTGGATGAATATCTGCTGGAAATTTTCTGAAGCAAAACTAAATGGGATGTGCAACAGGAAAATTAAGATAAAATGCAGACTGTACGGCTCGCTGTGAATATCATGAGTAGAACCCATGAAAGAAAGGTCACCATGCTGATAATGACCTGAGAAGGATTCAGCAATAGGTCAAGATGTAAATTCTAAGTGGTTCCTGTAAACAGGCCTGTCAGCTGACTGATCTAAGCAGTGTAATCTCAGGAATGTTTACAGCTGACTGCGGCGACAACAAACAGGCCATTGTGATGTCCCTGATTATGTAAACGTTTATGAGAAGAGGAAGATTATTCTCCACTACAACCACCATTAAATTGCACTTTGTTGATGCCTTTAACACATCTGTTTGAAGGAGCATTTTTCTCCTGCTGAAATGTCAGCTGATGGGCTGACTGCATTTTTTTTAAAAGAAGGGGGGAGTGGGCCTTAGAGGCCTCCTGTCATGTGTCTCTCTGCTGCTAATTTGATGCGTACGCCAACTCCAGTGACCACGGTCACACCCGTTACACATCCCTCTCCTCTGAGATAACTGTTCTCATGATCTTGAAAATGGAGGGATTGTTTGCAGGAATGGGAAAAAGCAGCAAGCTCAATCTGCTTCCACTGAATTTCGTCAGTAAGCCAGACAGCAAGAACGTGGGTGTGTCTTGGATATATTGTTTTAACTCATATTATACAGATTCTTTAGGTATTGAAATCTTTCCCACACTTCCACAGTGTTGTAAATAATATAAAAGAGGCTAAATTAAATTGTTATCATCACGTCTCAAACTATAAACCAAGGTAAAATTACATTCTCTATCCTATTGTTGACTCCAAGGTTGGACGTAAGCTGCCAGTAAGGAAATAAAAACAACAGACAAACGTGCCCATCATATCATCAAGAATAAGACAAGAAGCTTCATATGAACACTTTTATTAAAGGGATCACAGGTAGAAAAAGCCATCAGCAGTGCTGGAGACCAGCTACTGCCGACAACCAATCACAGCCTCGCTGAGACACATGCGAGATCTCCACCTGGCAAGAAATGTAAAACCCAGAGCGTTTACTCCAAAACCATAATTAAAAACATTATGCATATTATGGGACCATGTTGCTTCGCACACAGCAAAATTAAACACACCTCTGAATACCAGTGCTGCCTGTTTGTACTCTGGCACAAACGGCAAGAGTAAAACTGAATCCATGAATCAGGAGAGAACCAGGGTGGCCATAAACTGTCATGCAGTTCAGAACATCACACAGAGTTTAGGAATATAAGCAGTGGGAAGTCAGTCTGATAGTATATTTGGTTGATAGTGTTAGAAAAACTTTAGCTCATCCACTGGAATATTGGAAATTTTGAAGGCTGTGATATCAGTGAGAAAAGAGATACTGACTCAGGCAGAATTACAGCAGCAGCACGTGGAGATCACATCTTTTAAGATGGCAAACATCATAAACCAGTATTCACTGAACTGCACACATTTAACATACATGAAATTCAGATCTGGGTAAACTTTAAAATCAACATCTGACAGACTAATGAAAGTTTCGTCAACAATCTGCCAGTCAGAGAGCAGGTACTAAAAAGAACAACTTTAAACTGAAGACAACTTCTGCATATTGAAACACAAGAAGTCATCAAAAACACCCTGTTTTCAGTGTGGCACTTCATTAATGACCACACAGAACAGGCCACTAAAATTTCAGCAATACATTAGAGGCTATCTACAGGAGCCAATCACACGGTGTCAGCTGATCATATCACAGCGTGTGGTGGAGACAATAATCTGTAACTCATGCCTGACTGAAGCTGGCGTTATAAATCCTGTCACCGGGTGTGTCTGCTCAGTAACATGTGTTTGCTTTGACAGATGTGAAGATTGAAGTCTTAAGATTCAAACAAGAAAAAAAAGTCTTTATTCGTTCTGACGCATTCATACAAATATTCAATTTCCTCATTGGCTTGGCAAAGAGCTCTTCTGGCAACTGCTCATAAAACTCCGCCAAACATGACCGGGTTGTTGTTCCCCATCTGTCAGACCTATTTCCTCGATCAAACTAAAACCAATGGCAAAAATAAAGAGAGACAGCTTGTCCGTCAATGTCAGTGTAGGTCCATATCCTATACGTAACTGCTTCCGCATACTTCAAGTGTTTTTTTTCTCCTTTCTTTATGTCATTCTACTGACGTTTTGCATGATGTATACAGTGTTATTCTGACTGTACAAAATACTATGCAGCCATAGCATGAGGTGGCTGGAGGTGAGGTTATGAAACATTTGATGGGTCGACGGGAAGACGAGATATGGGCTGGGTTGATATGAGCCGTGACACCAGAGTGAAAACTGCTGCTACAATATCATGAGGTGAAGGGAAAACATGAAGAGTCAAGGTGAAGATGGGGCTGATGGGATGTTGGGGAGAGAAAGGGTAATGGGTTATCTGGATGAAGAAGCAGTACAAAGGGACAAAGTTGGGTGTGTGGGGGGGTACAACAACGCCCCCCTTTGTCCCCTATCGGTCCATTTCATCCAGCAGGGGTGTGGCGTCTCCAGCGATTGACATGGGTGTGCTCTCGATCATAGGGCTGGGTGACGGTCGTGGCGTCATCCTCTGAGATTTCTTTCTGCCCTCTGCTTCCTTTTCCTTCAGCCACTGCTCGGCCATCTTGCCCCAGTCTACTGCGGAGGAGCTGCTGCTGCTTGGCCTGCAGTAACAGAGGACAGAGGGAGATGGCTTTATTGGACAGCATATGAAAGGAAACCCAACCGAACATTGGGAGGCTGTTTAGATTTAAAATAATTCTTACTGCAGGTTTAGCACCACCTTGTGGCAGAAAACTGCAACATGAACATAAATTGTTGCCTGGCAGAGTGACAAACTTCAAAACACATTTAACTTTTAAGAGTTGGAGGTGAGGGAAAAATCTGAACTGCAGATGAAGTCTTAACACAAATAACTAAGACTGAAGGATTGCCATTTTGTACTTACTTTGGCTGCTGTTGTGGCGTCCGTCCTCGGGATGAGGTGGAAGATGACGGCGTGCCCGATGAGTGGCCGTGGTGACTGCTGTGATGGCCGTGATGGCCATGATGTGACATGTGGCTTCCATGTGGGTGGGCGTGGGCATGAGAATGTGAAGACTGAGGGGTGGAGCCTGGGTATTGCGGCGTGCCCAAAGCTTGCTGGCTCGGTGTGGTATACGAGTAGCTGGGCGTCATCATGGGTGT